CAGGCGATGAGTCACAATAACGTGGCTAAAGTATGTTGACCAGACCACACACTAGAAGGTGAAGGGACGACGACGTTTCGGTCCATCCTGGACCTGGGGCCAGATTCACGAAAGCACTTACGCAAATTCTTACGAACGTGTACATCTTTCCTCAATCTTTGACGGCTTTGGTTACATTTATTAAACATTTTACAAGCATGAAAACTTCCCAATCAGCTGTTGTTATTGTTATAAACAGCCTCCTGGTGCTTCGTAGCTCATTAACCGTTTAATAATTGGAAAAAAAGCCCCCAAAGATTGAGAAAAGATGTATAGGTTCGCAAGTGCTTGCGTAAGTACTTTCGTGAATCTGGCCCCTGTTCCTCAAGTCGATTGTGAGATCGACTTGAGAATGGTCCAGGACGAACCGAAACGTCGTCGTCCCTTCACCTTCTAGTGTGTGGTCTGGTCAACAGGCCAAACCTCCATTGGCCAAAACGATTGGCCGATGACCAAAACTCCATTGACAACTATCTTACGAGTGGCACTGAATATACCTTCCTGATATAGGCCTGGTCATATATAACTTATTAAACACACAAGAAGCAGGGAATGGATGAAACTTCTCCTGTACTAAACACATACGAGGTATTGCAGCAATATGTGCCAGGAAAATCTTGACTACTAACTTTTCTAAAGTTTTTAGACAATCAAGAGTTAATGATTTGATAAACCTTTTACGCGAATACAGCAATTTCAACGTTCATATCACCTGAAATGCGTCAAATTAAAAACTTTAATAACACATAACAGTATTAAACAAGTATAGAATTCCCACATTGCTACAGATAACTTCAAAATAAACTCTTATTGGTAATGCATAAAATATAAAAGAATAATAATAATAATAATAATAATATAATATAAATAATATAAAAATAAACAACACCATGCCAAAAATGACACTCATTACTATTCCAAGTTTAAAAATATTAAATATACTAAACAGAATGACGACGATTGTTGTATATTAGAAGGAAAATAAACATAGGTATGAATTAAACTAGAAATCGAAGCTGCATTTTCCCCATCGCCCAAAATGGAACAATTTGAAGCGATTCCTCTACAAACAAACTCAAGTAATCAGCTGACGTTCGTCTGAAACAATTAACATTGTGTTCAGTGCCATGGTTGAACCTCAACGTAGACAACTGGAGAAGCAATATTTGTATCATTAATGCAAATCAGATGAAATTGCAGACCTCCTCCTGAGATGTGAATCGTGCTCGGCATAGGAGAGACGGCCTGTGATCTAGGTGAGTGTCAGGTTGTCTAGGTGATAAGGTGGTCGAGGTGACTGAAGGTGTTCTGGTGTGAAGGGAACGAAGGGACACTGACCGTTCATCTCCCTCACTACCCTCATCCTCTCTCTCTCTCTCTCTCTCTCTCTCTCTCTCTCTCTCTCTCTCTCTCTCTCTCTCTCTCTCTCTCTCTCTCTCTCTCTCTCTCTCTCTCTCTCTCTCTCTCTCTATCTATCTATCTATCTCTCTCCTCCTTCATTCCGTCAACCCATACCGCTCCTTTTCCTCTTTCTCATTACCTTTAGTGAGCATCACAACAAAAGCGAGCACATACCTGAGACATCAACACACACTTCCTCAGCCAATCAAGAGGCAAAGGATCAACAAACTAGGTAGGCCAGAAGAACAGGCAAGGGGTCAACAAATTAGCTAAGCCACAAGACAGACAAGAAGGGATGAAATGCAAATACAAAAATATATTGGTTAAAAGAAAATCGGACTGTTGAAGTTCGATATATGAGGTGATTGTAGCTAAACAGTTTTGAGTAAAAAGTTTTATATGAAGTAGTTTGAATTAGGTCATTTTAGTAAGGTTATGTTTGTTTCAGTTAGGTTGTATTGTTAGGTGGTTTGAGTCATATAGTTTGACTAAGAAGGTTCGTATAAGGGGCTTCAAAGGTTCAAGTGGCTGCAGCTTTTACTTGAAGTCTGATGTCTTTAATCTTTGGAGTAATCTTAAAGTGAGCATTTAAGTGAACAGAGATTTTTGAGTTAAGGTGTTTAAGGATATATATTACAGACGCTTCGGCGATATTCTAAATACAGAGATCTTTTCTAAATCTAAATACATAAATCTTTTCTAAATCTAAATACAGAGATCTTTTCTAAATCTAAATACAGAGAACTTTTCTAAATCTAAATACAGAGATCTTTTTTAAATCTAAATTCAGAGCGATGATCTTTCTTTAGAATAATCATTGATTATTGAAAAGAAAGCAAATTCAATATTTATTAGTAAGGCTCATTTTGCCCAAAGTTTTTTTCGAATTGTTTAAGAAAAGGTAATTTGATACTTCTTAGGTGATTAGAAATAAAGTAATCTGTCAATACATTCTACTGTTCTCGGAAGTAAAGAGGCTATATTGGTCTCAAAAGTAATCAAACTTTGACTTAAAAGTAATGAGGGTTCTGTTGGACCTAAATGCAATCAGTTGGACCAATCAGGTTCTGTTGGAAAATGCAATCAGGTTCTGTTGGACCTAAATGCAATCAGGTTCTGTTGGACCTAAATGCAATCAGGTTCTGTCAAGCTCAAAGATAATTACGCTTTACCAGGTACAAATTACTAGGATCCTGCAGACGAACAAAAGTTATATTTTTTGTATGAATTTGTGATGAAGTTATAAAGTTTTCTGAGATGCTCAGATATAACACATTCACAAATCTAAGATATCAGACCAGATTACAGACCTCGCCTTTGCAACATGTCAGCTGCTGAACCGTACAGTCAGTTGAGCAATCCAAACATATTCTAAAGGCTAATGACTCAAAATTGTATTCGTTACAATCAAATGACAATTAATGATATACAAATAATATTGCTTTTTGGCCTTTTATAACTAAAAGTATCTAATGCAGATGATGAGTCACAATAACGGGGCTGAAGACATGATAACCAAACCACATATCAGAAAATGAACAAACGACGACGTTTCGGTCCTTCCTGGAGTACCATCAAGACCATTTTCAATTACATTTTCAATTACTGCTTCAAATACGAACTCTTTAGCAGTCACTGCAAGGAGAACGTAATTGCTTCTAAAGGGGTCAAAATAAATAACGGGTAGCTCTGCTTCTGATAAAGGCAGCTAGGCAGGTCTTGGTTTATGTGTAGATAAGCAGGCAGTTAAGAGTCAAGGTGAGAGAGAGTAGACAGTTAAGATCTCAAGTGAAGTTGCTATTGTCACTAGGCCAGGAACGGAACTCTAACTTAGAAGGGGGTGGGGATGATGGGCGTGGTTGGAGGGTGGGGGGGGAGGCATAGTTGGTAGGTATAGAGAGGATAGGGTTGGTGGGGTTTGGACGTGGTTTGGGGAGTAAGGATAGACCTATTCAGCAACAGTTAGGTGACTGCTTAGAGCATAGTTCCAAGACCTGATCTCTTCAATAATTACCCTACTCTCTTTCCCCTTCTCTCTATCTCTGTCTCTTTCTCTTTCTCTTTATTACATTCCACTATTTACATGTGCTAAATCCCTCTACAACCCACTTCAACCATTCCCACAGTAAATTATCAACAGCTTCTTCTTGACGTTCCGTTATCTCTCACATCAACCATATCTATGTTAACCAACAACCAAAAAACACCATTACAAAATCTGTGCACGTCAAGTCATCCACACTGACAGGGGCCCCGCTGTCAACATTGCCGTGGCATCCACTTCACCACCACCACCCAACCCACCACCCATCAACCAGCACCCCACATATTAAATCCACACATACTAATATGCACTCAAAGCTACAGTTCTTGGATCAGTCATCAACCAGACCGAAGATGCAAGTTCTTGTGTTTGTATACAGACGTGACTCCAGTGTAGGCACTGCGGCAACACCACCAACACCACCAACACCACCAACACCACCAACATGTCAATACCACTAGCACCACTACACCATCATCACCACTACACCACCAGGACAACGTCACGAGGTCTAAAATATCACGAAGTCTAAAACATCCTTAATATTATACATCATCAACACTACAGCACCATCAACATCACTGTTAGCACCAATACCAGCTACACCAACATCATCATCACCTAAACAGCAGCACTATTAGCATCAATGCCACTGCTAACATCAACACCACCTACATCAACACTACTGCCAGCATTAACACCATTTATGCCAGCCAGCATCAACACCATTTATGCTACCACAGCCAGCATCAACACCATTTATGCTACCACAGCCAGCATTTTATGCTACCACAGCCAGCATCAACACCATTTATGCTATTTTTATGCTACCACAGCCAGCATCAACACCACCTGTGCTACCACTGCCATCATCAACACCATCTATAACAATATAGTCAAACCTCAGGCCTATATATATCGCCACTTTACACTATCTCCAGCACCACTTGCTCACTAACTAGTCCGAACAACAGTTCCCACTTCCTGAAACCACACAACACTTGAATCAACCACAACCCCCTACACACACACACACACACACACACACACACACACACACACACACACACACACACACACACACACACACACACACACACACACACACGACTCCCAACCCTTCCTTCTCTCCCACGCGAGCCACTTCTGATCCACTACAACCACTCACGTCTGTCCCACCACACCCAAACCGAAACACAACACTCCTTACACCAAGCACCACTGCCCCCCTCCCCCCTCCCAATCCACAACAACGCACAACTTTTCCCGCTACTGATCTCTTCGTCCACAATATTCTTCGACTCATCACCCCCTTTTCCTTCTAATCCCTCAATCCATCACTTTCCATGAACCACCTACTCCGTCGTTTCTCCAAGCCACACGACCTTCCTACCTCCCTGCCCCTTTACCACCCCCTTCTCCCTCCCAGATAAATGCTGCCACCAAACAATTGCCTCCAAAAAACAAAACAAAAACAATAAGTCAACAACTAACGACGTACCTTCTCTCTCCTCTTCTAAGGTCGAGAGGGCTCCGTGAGGGAGGGAGGACACCACCTGAGGACGCGAGACGGCCTTCCTTCGTTCCCTTCTCCACCAATATCTCCACCAACCACCGTCACCACCACCACCACCACCACCACCATCATTTCTGCCGGCTGTGCGCGTGTGTGTGTGTGTGTGTGTGTGTGTGTGTGTGTGTGTGTGTGTGCGTGCGTGTCCCAGCCAGGCACCAGCAGGCGAATGTTAGCTCGTGACTACTTGATTAACTAAACGTGGCTGATGAGCCGAGGTGGAGGTGTCTTCAAGATAATCAGCAATATTATAAGAGATGATCGAGTTGTATAGATAAAAATAAGACAGAACTTCTTGGGATTATCTCTGCCGAGTTTGGGTAATATATATACAAGCGAGAACAGTTTGTAAGGTCGGCTTCTAGTTGAGAACACCAGAATACATAATCTCAAACCAGCAAAGTGCGGTATATAAAAACAAGATTACGCCACTCAGGGAGTGACGCAGTGGGAAGGAGCTTCATATACTTTGTTCAAAGCTGCCTCCATTCTCAAGTAGTGACCAGGATGGTTTGAAATAGTTGGTTGTGAATCCCACTAACCTCTGAGCGCTTCTCCTTTGCTTAGCTTCCCTGCTTAGCCGTTCGTTTTCACGTTTCCTAAAAACCATCTGGTAATTGTGACGTAGTGGTTCTTCTAGAGCAGCTACCCTTCCCACTTACAGCTTAGTGTGTGGGAGCAGACACCCCCCATTTCCTCTTACCTCTGCTCTAATACACTACTCTTGACCCTCTTTCTTCCTCCTCGCTCTCAACAGTCGCCTCTTGATCTTCTGCCGTAATCTGAAGAGCACTCCGCCCTCCTCACTGTAGGGCCCTCGACGTCGGCCCGCTCTCATTACTAAACAAAATCCAGCCAGGTCGCGCCAGCTTGGGTCTAATTCTAAAAAAGGAAAAGAAAGAGAACAGATTCTAACTGCAGTTGAGGCCCGGCCGACCCAGATAAGGCATGAGCGCGCCCGGATGGCGAGAGTTAGTTGCGGCTGAGGCCATCACAACCTGCTGCTGAGTCCTCGCTTGCAACACCTAGAGCATGGACCAGACCAGGTCCAGGTAGTCCCTGCAGCCAAGTGCAATCTCTTCCATATACCTTGAGTTGTTTTACACAAGACAGAACTAATCCACCACCATGCCGTTACCGGATGTGGTAATGAACTTCGTGGTGCCGGGGATCAACCTCAGCCTCCAGGAGATATCTGACGCCCTCTACAACTGCATGAAGGAGCAGCGGGTGCAGAGAAAAATCGTATTGGTGATCGTGAGCATAGCGTTGCTCCTTGACAACATGCTCTACATGGTCATCGTGCCTATCATCCCAGATTATCTACGCAGGATTGGATCTTGGACTACCCATTTTGAAGGAGGGAATACCATCAGATTTAACGAGTCCAACACTAGATATTTAGCAAATGCCACTGGAAACTACTCTATTACCGACACGCATGTTAAAACGAAGCTTGTAAACCAGGTGGTGGTATACGAAGGTGAGGACTCGGCTATCGGGATTCTCTTCGCCTCCAAGGCCCTTATACAGCTCATGATCAACCCCATCTCCGGTACAGTCATAGACAGGATTGGCTACGACATTCCTATGACATTTGGCCTCATTATAATGTTTTTCTCCACTGCCATCTTCGCTTGCGGTCGCTCCTACGGCGTCTTGTTCTTCGCCAGGAGCCTCCAGGGAGTTGGCTCAGCCTTCGCCGACACTTCCGGATTGGCCATGATCGCTGACACTTACACGGAGGAATCGGAGCGTACGAAGGCTCTCGGTATAGCCTTGGCCTTCATATCCTTTGGGTGTCTAGTGGCACCTCCGTTTGGAGGGACGTTATATCAGTTGGCGGGGAAGGAGGTGCCCTTTTTAATATTAGCCTTTGTGTCACTATTCGATGCTCTTATGTTAAGGTTAGTCATGAGACCAATAAAAGACCAAAAGAAAGAGCAAGGTCACGAACCGCAAGCCGGAACTCCTATCTACAAACTCTTCATGGATCCATACATCTTGTGCTGTGCAGGCGCCCTCATGATGTCCAACGTGTCTTTGGCCTTCCTGGAGCCCACCATCAGCGTGTGGATGATGGACACCATGCATGTGGAGGAGTGGCAGCTGGGGATGATTTGGCTCCCGGCCTTTTTCCCGCACGTTGCCGGCGTCGTTCTCACCGTCAAGCTGTCCAGGAAGTACCCCAACTATCAGTGGTTAATGGCGGCCTGCGGCCTGGCTTTAGAGGGAGTCAGTTGCTTCTTCTTGCCTTTCGCAACCAACTACTGGGTGGTCATGATTCCTATCTGTACAATATGCTTCGGCATCGCCCTCATAGACACGGCGCTCCTACCGACTCTTGGGTATCTGGTCGACACGCGTTATGTCAGCGTATACGGCTCAATCTACGCCATCGCTGATATTTCTTACTCGTTTGCATATGCTTTCGGACCAATGATCGCTGGCAGTGTGGTCACCACTATTGGTTTCGTGGCTCTTAACATTGGCATTGCCTTCTCCAACCTTGTGTACTGTCCGATCCTCTACTCTCTTCGTCACGTGTACGACTACAAGCCCTTCGAGGATGAGGTCCAGGAACAGCTCAACATGGGAGATCCTCCATCCGGGGACTTCCAAACGTACACGATGCAAGAAGGACAGCAGGTTCCAGGAGAAGGCAAAACCCAACTGGAGAATGCCAAGCTCTCCAAAGGTGGCCAGCAGGAGAACTACGGCACCTACGAGGCCATGGAAATGCAAGCGACCGATTACAATAACCAGGGACTAAATGGCCACGTGGCAGGTGATAACAGGACAATTAATCAGCGCCACGTGGATAATAACCCATTCCGGCAACAGCAGAGCATGCAACATGGAACAAGTTTTCACTATGACCAGTAAATGTTCTAAACGAGTGTAAATAAATGATAAGTGTTATGCATTAATATGGACGTTATTCGTTAATAAGATTTATTATTTTGTATTACTTATCTTCTCTGTTGTAAATAGGAATTATAGCTCACATCCTGACTTGTAAACCTGTTCCTGCACCCTCACGTCTGAAGGTTTAGTCATGTTGCTCTGTTGATGTGTGTTTTATATTAACTATTGTGTCGTTAACGCAATAATAAGTATCAAATAGCGATGTTGCTTCCTTATGATAAGGAACCTTGTGGTAACATCGCCCAGGATATGTTGTTGTCAGCTGTTTCTATTCGTCTCCATATTTATTATACACAGCCTGAAAACAATTTTCTTGTTATAAATGACTAGGTTGCATGTCACCAAAAAGATGCACATTTTGATTTCTTTGACCTCTAAAAGGTCAAACTTTCAGGCCACACGCTGGGTAGTTTCTTTCCTGTTTCTGATGTCAATACTAGTCGATGTAGTTCTAGATGTATATAGTTAGGATCTATTAAAGAAAGTTGGGGAGGTCAGTACCCAAGACTCTGCTACGGTTCACGGGAAGAAAGAAGAGAGACCTCAGGTATCAAGCAAATTAAAATTTAAACAAATCCTGACATCAAAATTGTTTACAAAATTTACCTGAGAATCTTGAAACACCAGTTTGATCATTAGAAAATATTTACCGAACTCCCACCTAACTTATCAGTAAAAAAGGAAATAGGAACGTGATTATGAGTCCATGTTCAGACTATTCATATTAACGCGAGTTTGCATACAAATCGGACAGTTTCAACTCCCTGTGTATCTGCCTGTGGATATAAGAAAAAGGCCTCATTGTAAACATAAAAGTCTTCATGTTGTCGCCACACGAAATATAAACTCCTCGGGTTATAGATCTCTCAGTAGGGAATAAGGCGGGGGCGCTAGAAAGCTGTTGTTTATGAGGGGCTTAATGGGGTATGATGAGGGATGGGGTGACCTGGTAGTACAAGGGTTGAGTGCAGAGCTACAGCACTCATGTGAGGCTGAGTGAAACACTTCAGAGACAGACAGAATATCATCCGGACTAAATCTAACACTTTTGAAGCGCCGTAAAGAATATGGATAAACAGTACAAGCCAGAGTATGGATAACCAGTACAGGCCATAGTATCGATAGCCAGTACAGGCCAGAGTATGGATAACCAGTACAGGCCATAGTATCGATAGCCAGTACAGGCCAGAGTATGGATAATCAGTACAGGCCAGAGTATGAATAAACAGTACAGGCCATAGTATGGGTAACCAGTACAGGCTATAGTATGAATAACCAGTACAGGCTATAGTATGAATAACCAGTACAGGCCAGAGTATGGATAACCACTACAGGCTAGAGTATGGATAACCAGTACAGGCCAGAGTATGGATAACCACTACAAGCCAGAGTATGGATAACTACTACAGGCCAGAGTAGGCTGAAAGAGGGTAATATAGGCTAGTTGGGGCAGATAATGTAAGCCAGTGTAGCCAGGGGAAAATAATTTGGGCCAGTTTTGATTAGATTTTCGCCATACAGACATGTGTACGCTCTCTGGAAGGACAATATATGTGGTTTGGGCGCGGACAATACAGGTCGGTGTGGATCGGCAGTACAGCCCAATGTGAGCAGGTAATAATAGCTAATGTAGGGGGGACAATACAGCCCAATATGCGTTCAGGAGGAGCAATACAGATCAGTGTGCGGGGGTGTGAAGGGAGGTAATATAGACCAAAATGAGTGGTGAAACTGGGTAATATAGACCAAAATGAGTGGGAAACTGGGTAATATAGACCTAAATGAGTGGTGAAACTGGGTAATATAGACCTAAATGAGTGGTGAAACTGGGTAATATAGACCTAAATGAGTGGTGAAACTGGGTAATATAGACCTAAATGAGTGGTGAAACTGGGTAATATAGACCAAAATGAGTGGTGAAACTGGGTAATATAGACCTAAATGAGTGGTGAAACTGGGTAATATAGACCTAAATGAGTGGTGAAACTGGATCATATAAGCTAAAAACAGCCAGGGAGATAAGAGATAACGAGCGTGTCGTTTATTATAGCCAAGTTGAGGAGGGTTTATAAGGGCCAAAAGGGTGGATAGGCAGCCCAGGCAGGGGAAGAGACCAAGGCGGAGTGTTGGGATGCAGGACCGACCCTAACACTAGCCCATCACGAGCCGTCTGCACGCAAATCTTACTGTAGCCAGTCTCACGAATCACTATAGAATAGTCACCGTATTTTTTAATTTGTTTTTTCTTCTCCTCGCAACTCTAAAACCTAACTCGAGGCCCCGAGCAGAGTGTTCCTGAGAGTCATATGCTATCTTCCTGTTTAGGAGGCGCGTTAGGGGGGAGGATGAATTGATGAATCAACCACCATCATTTGGAAATTTGGTGTTCCTGTAAATTTTGGCTAAGATTTTGATGCTAATTAACCATGGATGATGCTGCTGGAGGGAAGAATATACATAAGGGGATTAACTTATTAACTTCAATCTCAGGAGGACGCTATTAACTGCTCAGTGTTAAGTTGGACTTTAGAAATGCGACCCATCACTTGTTGGGAACCTTGTGAACTCACACATTTTCCACGCAACATATATTATATATATATATATATATATATATATATATATATATATATATATATATATATATATATATATATATATATATATATATATATATATCTTTTGCAAGAGCTATCAAAACTAGCATCACTATCAACATCACTACAACCACGACGACCACATGTGTAGCCAGTTGCTTCCTCCACCACTCACACCACCACCACGACTACCACGACCACCACCACCTTCACGACCACCACCACCTCCACGACGACCACCCCCGTACCTCCAACAAGCCAGTTCTCTCGATCTTCCATAACCTACAAAATCCAACGTCACAAGCTAACCAAAATCTCACAACACCCCCCCCCCCCTATCCTTACCTAATCTATCCTACCCAACAGATGCAGAGAAAACGTGGGTATATAGATATATATATGTGAAATGCAACTTTTCATAGAACGTTACATTCGGGACGTTGGTTGCATACCAGCGAACCTAACCACCAGAATCATATTGCATAAAAACTGACAAGAAAAATTGCAAAGGTTTGCAACAAGATTATTACCAGAATTGAGATGTCTGTTCTACAAGAACACGTTAAGACAAGTGAATCTCACAACCTTCGAGAAAGGTATAGGTACTAAGAGGGGAAATGATTACTTCATAAGTGATACTGATGGTAGGAGACAGAGGACACGGGTGGAAGCTTGAAACGCAGGATAAAAGAATAGGTCAATCAAGGGTATTATTGACGGGGCAGTAAGAGTTAGAGATGACTTCCTCGTGGTCACTGATAGGTAAGGTATGTATCACCACCACCACCACTACCATCACCTGACCACTACTACCACCACCAGTACTATCACCTCACCACTATAACCACCATCATTACACCACTAACATAACCACCATCACTTCACTACTTCACCACCACCACTATCACTTCACCACTACAACCACCACCTCACCTCCACCACCATCACCTCACTACCACCATCTCACCTCCACCACCACTACCTCACCACCACCACCACCACAACCACCACCTTCACCTCCATCCCAACCTGCGAGTACACCTGTAGTGGCTAAGGTAAAGTTAGGTTACTTACGGGCTATTCATGCCCGTGCCACCTCTTGGGTGGCTTAATCTTTATCAATCAATCTAAAGTTAGGTAACTGTTAAGAGAAAACTCTATACCAGAATGACTATAAGGCACACAAAGATTATTCGAACATGAGTAGAAAGCTACGAGTGAAGGTGAAGTACCCAACCACTTAAGTCATCCCAACCTTGCAAGACGTAAGGCCGGCGCCCTACCGTCCAGTGAGTAGACGATGCACAACCGCTGCCGCTACACTCCCCCATGGTTACCAACACCAACGGCGGGTCTTAACACAAAGCAGAAAACCTGTTCCAACTGTTGCCACTTCAAGCCGACTTCACAACCCTCACAAAATCACTCCCTAATGCAATCACCACGACCAAACAACCACCATCCTAACAACCACTATCTCTACCACCAACATCCAGTCTACAACTGCATAAATATTAGTGTATACAAAGCCAACCCAATCAACACCATCAAATGAACAAATTCACAAGGGCCGTGACGTAGGTTCGAACCCTCGTCACGGCCCTTGTGGATTTGTCCATTTGATGCATCACGCTATTGTGATTTCTGTCACAATCGCGTGACAATTGTGACAACCATCAACCACACCCACACACAAGCTTCCCAACAATTGGTGAACTTTACCATGCCAGTCTTCTCGGAATAAGAAAGGTTCTAGTACCAAAATGTAGTCACCCAAAAACCGACCATTTTGAGCCTGACCACAAGGATTATTTTTGTAACGACTTCGACTCTTTGTATTCTGAGACGACTCTGGACTCCCCAAGAGAGAGAGACAAGAGATTCAAATAACATTAAAAATTGCGTAAACAACTGCTCATGTTGAACGCCAAATGTAATACCGAAAGCCAGAAGATTATATTGACCGCCAGATTAAAAAATAAATAATATATGAGATTGGAGTAAGTGGGAGTCTCTTGTCTGCGAATCAGAGCCCTCTTTGATGTCACGCAATGACATGAGAGAGGAAGCGAACACGTTTTCTCGTTCTAATTTGCATCTAGAACATAATCCAGTTTAGCAAACAAATAACTGGCGAAAATAACCGAAGAAAATGCTAATATACAGAGCGATATCTCTCCGCACCTAAAGTAGTACTTTGCAAATTGGAACGATTTGTATAGTCTTTCATTTTCCTCTATTTTCTTTGTACTTGTTCTTGATCTCCATCTTCTTGTTCTCTGATTCCTCTTTGTACACGTTCTTTAACTTCCTCCACAACTTATCTTACTGGAGACCTATAGTTTGCCAGTTTTAGAGAGGCAAAAGTTCTTCCCTGATCTCCACCGTAGTTCTGGCCAGTTCATTTTTATCCTGACGGTAGTCTTGTGTGTGAGTGAGTGTGTGTGAGTGTGTGTGTACCATCCTATCTACTACTGCCTTAACGTGAGATGACTGCTTTCTTAGATATACCTGTTATCATGAACGTGCTCTATGCAATAACATGGTGTAAACATTTTTTTAATGAAATACTACTGATAGAATAAATGTCTAAACTCCTTGAATAAATGCAGTTATAGGAATGGCTAAAAAAAAATGTGGGTAAATTTTGAACATGAAAATAAATATATATAATAATTAACTACTGTATATTTCATTTTTATTAGGGTCAATTTTTTCCGTAATAAGTTATCATTATGTCCATTTTGAAATATAATATATATATATATATATATATATATATATATATATATATATATATATATATATATATATATATATATATATATATATATATATATATATATATATATATATATATATATATATATATATATATATATATATATATATATATATATTATATTGCCTAAACTGTGGTAACATATTTATTAAAAAGATGTTTATATATTTACAAGTCAATCAAAGTGTAAGCCCCTGACAGGAGAGGACCATTGTCTTCACGGGGCTGTATTGTCTTCTTTTGTGTATCCTACAGTGCTAATGTGTGTGAGTAAGTGTCTCCCCGCTATCCTGGTTATCCTGGAAGGAGAAGGAGAGTCTACTCTCCTCCTTCCTCTCCCCCTTCTTCTTTCCCCTTCCCCCGCCTCCTTTTTCCCTCTCCCTCTCTCCCTGTGCTGAGTGGTGTTCTCTGCCATAAGAGAAATCTAATATTATTTTTCCCAATTAACTTGTAACAATAAAAGAAAAATCATTATACAGGCCACTAATGTACAATGCTCATGCATATATATATATATATATATATATATATATATATATATATATATATATATATATATATATATATATATATATATATATATATATATATATATATATATATATATATATATAACATTAAAAAGAAAGTTTCTCCCTAATTTCCATATAAGTTGTGTGCCGCTGTAGTGCAATGTTCGGCTTCCACAGCTGTTATCACAACTAGCAAATAGGGGCCAGAAATGCCATTTAGGAGAGAATATAGCTGGCTGGTTAGCATGAGGCATGCAGCCACTGTATATATATATCCGGCGACTTATGATTTCCATCTCATCCCGTTGGGGGGCGGGGAGGGTTCCCTGTTTAACCGAACACCTCATTCTTAAGTCATGTTAACTCAGGTCGTTACCTTTAGTACTCTTTCCCATCAATGTTCCTTCATCTCGTTGTTGTTCTGCGATTGGACTTCCGTTCTGTTCAATGTTCTCTTCAAGTTCCATGTCCACCTTCCGTTCAATGCTCCACGTTTCCCTTCTGGAAGATCACATCTATACTGACTCCAGAGTCCCGCATGCTGGGCTCCCCCCCATCAACCTTGGGGTCTGATACAGGACTCCATATATGCCTCATTGCTGGTCTCTTTATACGTTCCATTTGCTCATGTAATTATTGCCAACTGCTGATATTGTAACCATCTGTTCTCACCATGACCACCTGTTGATATCATTATCTCCTGCTGGTATAATTACCATCTGCTGATTTAGTCACCGTCTGCCGTACTTAGTTACTACCTACTGATCTATAGTTGCCCCCCTGTTAATGATAATTTAGTCACCACCTGTTGCTTAGTCACCACCTGCTGCTTAGTCACCACCTGTTGCTTAGTCACCACCTGCTGCTTAGTCACGACCTGCTGCTTTAGTCACCACCTGTTGCTTAGTCACCACCTGCTGCTTTAGTCACCACCTGTTGCTTAGTCACCACCTGCTGCTTAGTCACCACCTGCTGCTTTAGTCACCACCTGGTGATATATTTACTACCAGCTATATTGTCATCCACTGCTCTCACCATCCCCCACCTGCTGTCACCATCACCACCTGCTTTCACCATCAGCACCTGCTCTTACCTGCAAATATCACTAATTTTGCATGGCAGTTGAGTTGGCATCAACCAATCAAAACACAAGCTCACGAATTAGAGAAGCAGCCGTCGTAAGAAGGCACAGTTAACTGTTAGTATCACTGACAAAACGTGTACATGAATAATAAATAATAATATTAATAATATAGTAAATAGAGGTTAAGACAGCCGTGCAGGTTAAGAGCTTTTGTTTACCTGTGAGGGCGGCTTTAACACCCCCTGATCAACGTGCCATTTTACAGGTAGTGAAGATATATATATATTAATTAACTCTTTACACCCCTGTCCTTAAACCCTATACCTTGCCTGTCTAAATCCACACCCATTCGTATGCCATTTATTTGTTTCCAAGCTTAAATATTTCGTAATATTTGAGTAGATATAAATATAAAAGATGCTATAGAGTCCTCGCCCTTCCCTTCCCCCAATCCCCACCATTCTCGTCTGCATCGCTTGTAGGCCTCCTGAGCAATGTCCCCCTTATGTCAGGGCTCTGTAAGGTTCAACTTTGTGTAGGTAGTTCATCAAGCTTAGGGGCGATGTACTCACGGAAGAAGTTGAACTGCCTCTGCCATTTCAAGAATTCATACTCCAGTAGTTGACCAGTTCGAAGTTATATATATATATATATATATATATATATATATATATATATATATATATATATATATATATATATATATATATATATATATATATATATATATATATATATGCCTCAACCTCTTCCGTGTTACAGAATCAACTTTCCATTAGCTGTCCAAACCAATTGAATCGTCATATCACTAAAAGCTAAGTGCATTTACCCTCCCAAGATATCTTCACATAGTATTAGCTATCTTTTCCCCCCAAGTGGTATGTATGCTATTATGAGCATCTTGTAGAAAGTGTATATATACATAAACGGATCATGTTGTCATTATTGCTTCAGAGTGTTGTATATGTGATGTTAACTTTTTTATATATCTTTTTTTTATCGTCTTATATATATATATATATATATATATATATATATATATATATATATATATATATATATATATATATATATATATATATATATAAATATATGATATAAGCGTCTGTGTATGACGAGGTGTGCGATGTTGATCCTTATTCATTGCTCCACTGAGGGTCGAATTTCTTTGTAATGGAATAAATTCATCTTTGTGTCAGAGCATGGACTAAAATAGCATCTTTATCCTGGAGCATACGGACCATAATCGTATACCTCCACGTCCCATGTACCAAGTACAAGACTTCGCCATTGTTAATAATTCCATTGCAATTGGGATCAAGAGCCCCTTAAAACAGAATGTAAAATAAAAAATTGTAATTACAAAATTGACAAAAATCCAAGTGATTTTGTAAACGTTTTGTAAATCCAAGTGATTTTAAAAACGTTTGGTGAATCCAAGTGATTTTAAAAACGTTTTGTAAACCCAAGTGATTTTGAAAACTTTTGTAAATCCAAGTGATTTTGAAAACGTTGTGTAAATCCAAGTGATTTTGAAAACGTTTGGTAAATCCAAGTGATTTTGAAAACGTTTGGTAAATCCAAGTGATTTTGAAAACGTTTTGTAAATCCGAGTGATTTTGAAAACGTTTTGTAAATCCAAGTAATTTTGAAATCGTGTCTATAACGTTATAGTAATTTTCATACCGCTGGTAATTATATCATGCTGTTATGCTGAAAATATATCCATATATGTCTTAGGGAAATATACGTATAAATATGAGGTTTATTTACAGTGGTAAAAATGAGGTTTGTTGATTATTATCGTTCTATTTAAGCCGCATCCAGGCGCTTAGCCATGATATGATAGAGATATTGTCATAGTTAAGTTAAACCCAGGTTAAATGGCGTTTGTAAATACACTTAAGGTCAAGATTATTGTAGTTGTTTGTGTACTTGTGTAGGTGTATTCTACGAGTTATTATATACAATGGGGGGTACGTCCCATGTGTAAACTAGCCCAGATTTCCGAATCAACTATATTTGCATCTAAAATCTAATGACCTGAATGGTTGTAAATCCACTTGAATTATATAAAGCTCAGCCAACTCGCTTGTCATTGAAATTTTCTTGATAATATTACGGTTCGCCTTGCCCAACCTAACCTAACCTAACCAAACCTAACCTAACCAACAGAAGAAAAGCAGGGCCGGGCTTTATACCGCATGAAGTGGGTTAGACCATCCTCAGGGCATCATAACATTCACACGTGACTATCACGTGCATTACTCTAAGGAAATTTGGTCCAGTTAGAAATAATTAGTACGTAATAAGGCTCCTTTGAGTTCTTTTTTTCACCCTTTTGACGAAATGTTGTGTCGAATGTAGCTGTGATATCTTAATTGAGGGGGGATGTGGTCTGAAGTGCTCTCTACCACACCAGTTGTGGTTTTCTCCCAATATTGTTACGTGTTCAAGTTATTATAATGAGAACTCTAAAGAAATCAATCTGTTTATTTGATTAATTAAATATGTTCGACTCTCAAAGGGTTCCACATGGATGACATACGTTTATTCCCACGTTAAAGTGGTATATATATATATATATATATATATATATATATATATA